GTATTGAAGGCCTCTCGGGGTCAAGGTTCAGAAGTCCATCTTGTCACTTCACCTGACATCTGTTGGTTAAGCCAGCTCCAGTCCAGGAAGTGGACAAATAACTCCACCTATTGATGGAATCGGCAGCACAGTTATGTTGCCAAAATGTTGGTATACAGGAATTGGAGGAATTGTGGGCGGTTTTGTAGTCCTGTGCAGGAGCAACAGGATGAGAGTTGTGTTTTTTGTTTTTGTTTTAATAATATATTTTTATTGATATTTTACAGAGAGGAAGGGAGAGAGAGATAGAGAGCTAGAAACGTCGATGAGAGAAACATCGACCAGCTGCCTCTTGCACACCCCCTAGCGGAATGTGCCTGCAACCAAGATACATGCCCTAGACCGGAATCGAACCCGGGACCTTTCAGTCCGCAGACGGACACTCTACCACTGAGCCAAACCGGTTTCGGTGAGAGTTGTGTTTTAGATGATCACTCTGAGTGTAGTGTCAAAGGGGCAGGGAAGAGGAGTCAGGCACTGGGTGATGGCTGTTCGCTGCTGAATCTAGGCATCAGTAATCAGGATTCCAAAGCTATGGGAGAGATGGTAAAGAGAGTGTATGAAGGCATCACAACACACTTATTTAAACATTTTTAAAATTGATATCAACAAAAAGGTAGAAGGAGACAGAAACATCAATGATGAGAATCATTGGCTGCCTCCTGCACCCTCCTACTGGGGACTGAGCACGCAACCCAGGCATGTGCCCTGACCAGAATCGAACTGAGACTTTCTGGTTCATAGATTGACACTGAACTTCTGAGCAAGGTCAGCTGGTCACACTCATTCTTCATTGTCTGCTTTCAAATGTCTCAAGATGTTCTGTAATCCTATCTAATTAATGAGTAATATGCAAATTAACCATTACTTGGCTATGTCCACCAGCCAATCAGGAGCATATATGCAAATAAACCTAACCAAGATGGCTACGGTCACAGAGAGCAGGAGGGAGGCTTGGATTTCCCTGGCAATGGAGGAAGCCAAGCTTTCTGCACACCCTGGCCGGTCCAGGCCTATGTTTAAGGCTACAAAGTTTCAATTATAGAAGATATATAAATCCCAACAGAAATGGCTACCTCCATGGAGCAAGCAGAAGGCTTGGCTCCACTCCAGGCTACAAAGTTTCAATTGTAGAAGATAAATAAATCCCAGATTGGTGGGGGGGGGGGGGGGGGAGGCGTGGCCGGCCTGTAAACTGTCATAGGCCCCTCACCCAGGCTGCCCTATGCCCCAAGGGAACTCCCACCCTGATCTGGGACACCCTTCAGGGCAAACCAGCCAGCCCCCACTCATGCACCAGGCCTTTATCCTATCTAATAAAAGTGATATGCAGATTGACCATCACTCCAACACACAAGATTGCTGTCCCCATGTGGTCAAAGATCCTGCCCCTATGTGGACACAAGATGGCTAGCAGGGGAGGGGAGTTGGGGGCGATCAAGCCTGCAGGGGAGGGCAGTTAGGGGTGACCAAGCTAGCAGAGGGAGGTTGGGTGTGACTAGGCCTACAGGGAGGATAGTCGGGACCAGGCCAGCAGGGGAGGGCAGTTGGGGGGGGGATCCAGGCCTGCAGGGGAGAGCAGTTAGGGGCAAACCAGCTGGCAGGAGAGTGGTTAGGAGGTGACCAGGCTGGCAGGCAGAAGCAGTTACGGGCAGTCAGGAAGGCAGGCAAGTGAGCAGATTGGAGCCAGCAGTCCTAGATTGTGAGAGGGATGTCCCTCGAAGGGTCCCAGATTGGAGAGGGTACAGGCTGGGCTGAGGGACAGGTGCATGGGACCATTAGTAATTTATAAAAAGGCAACAAAATGAAAAGGGGATACTGCACTGATTGAAAGAGGCAGTACTAGATCAGGCTCAACTGGGTATAATTGGTTTTTTAATCCTCACTCAAGTGTGTTATATTTATTCATTTATTATTTTTTTTAGAGCACGAGTGAAACATTGATGTGAGAGAGAAACGCCAAATGGTTGCCTCACATATGTGATCAGTCTTGCAACCTAGGTATGGGCCCACAACCTTTTGGTGTATGAGACAATGCTCCAACCTATGGAACCACGCTGCCAGGGCAATAATTGGTTAAGTTTTATAAAGCCTTTCTAATTAGCTCAGATAACTTAAAGGAGAAGTAAATATATGACACTGTTTTTCTTAGCATATTGGGCCCCAAGAACTTAGAAATAATTGGAAGTAAAGAAGATTTACCTTTTGTCTGATTGCTTACACCAAGTTTCCATCATATCAAGGCCTGCCTGTTGCATTTTTCTCATATGTCACTGTTATTGTAATTGTAAATGATAGTACAATTAAAGTAACTTATGTATGCCGAAACCGGTTTGGCTCAGTGGACAGAGCTTCGGCCTGCGGACTGAAGGGTCCCAGGTTTGATCCCAGTCGGGGGCCAGTGGGGGGAGGGGGGGAGGGTGCAGGAGGCAGCTGATTGATGATTCTCTCTCATCGATGTTTCTAACTATCCCTCTCTCTTCATTTCTGTAGAAAATCAATAAAATATATATATATATATATATATATATATATTTAAAGTAATTTATGTAGAGAAGAGAATAATGTAACATTTGCATTTTAAAAGATGTTTATTTTTTAAATTTTTACTTTAAAAATATATAATGTGTGAACAAAAAGGTGGGTCGTCTGTGTGTTTGATTTTTTTTGCAAGGTATTAAAAATAGCATGAAGAAATGTACACACAGAATAAAATGTGCATCTTAAAAATATTTAATCAGCATTGCAGCAACATAGTTTCTATCTGTTGGTCTCCATAAATAAAGCTCACTGCCTGGGAAAGAGCACCAAATCCCAGAAACTGCGAGTAAAACTGGGTATCTTCCTGTGCTTCTGCTTGTGGCTGCTTCTGAGAGTGTTTTTGAGATTCTTACATGCATGCTGCTTGATAAATAGAGCAAATGGTTCGAGAGGAATAGGCTGTTTATTGACATTCACACTGTTTGACTGCTTAGAAGAGTTTACTTTGCAGTATACAGTGAGTGACTATCAGAATTTTTAACCGAGTAATTATGAAATTATCAGTAAAAGAATATAGGCTATTTACTTTTTAAAAATGTATTCTTTTGCCACCCTATCTCCTATTTTTTTTAAAAAAATATGTTTTATTGATTTTGTACAGAGAGTAAGGGAGATAGAGAGTTAGAAACATCGATGAGAGTCATTGATCAGCTGCCTCTTGCACACCCCCTACTGGGGATATGCCCGCAACCAAGGTATTATACATGCCCTTGACCGGAATCGAACCCGGGACCCTTCAGTCCCCAAGTCGATTGAGCCAAACCGGTCTCGGCCCTATCTCCTACTTTTGTTATCATCTAATATCCAATGTATTTTAAAATATTCATGATTGACTTAAAATTGTCTCTTTTTTTTTCCAGTTTATTTAAGTCAAAACTCAAAAGTCCACGTATTTCTTAAATCTGTATACTAACATACTTCTCCCTCCTTTTTTCTTTTCTTTATCTATACATTTCTTTGTTGAAGAAACTGGTCCATTTGTTTCAAAATTTTCCACATTCTAGGTTTTGCTATTTAAAGACCAGAAAAATGGCATTATTTTGGTTGTTATGCCTGTGGTCTTCCTACATTTACTTCTGTCTTTTATAACATTGAGATTTTTAAGGAGACTAGGCTAGCTGTCTTATTGAATGTCTCACAGTCTGGATTTGTCTGATCTTTTGTTATGATTAGATCCTAGTTAAATAATGCAGATGTAAATGTGCCTTTTGAAGGCTTGAAAAGGTAAACATAGGAATCCTGTGGGTTTTACAGTCTTTTGTCAGTTCGCTTGGAGGCCTCCTAAGTGCTAACAGCACCTGATCTCATAGGAAGCATTGTAACAGAGCCAGAGAACATTCAGTTAAGCAGAGTTTCAGATTTCCTCTCTGGAAGTCAAAAACTGCAGGAAACTAGCAGAATAGGCTGTCTTAAAACAGAAACTGAAAACAGAATTTTGGCACTTTCAGTATGGAGGATGTTTCTTCCCCTAACCACTGAATTACATCATCACTTCCCTGAAGCTTTTGAGCATATGACTGACCCCAGTGCCTACGTTTCCTTATGTGGCTAGCTAGAACAGTGGTCGCAAACTCATTAGTCAACAGAGCCAAATATCAACAGTACAACGATTGAAATTTCTCTTGAGAGCCAATTTTTTTAAACTTAAACTATATAGGTAGGTATATTGTTATTAACTTAATTAGAGTACCCTAATTAGCCACACTCAAGAGAGCCGCATGTGGCTTGTGAGCTGCAGTTTGCCAACCACTGGGCTAGAGGAACTTTAGATCTATAGAGGCCAAGATGCTGAAAAACAACACATAATTAAGAGACAGAATAGTGAGGTCCTGGAATTTCAGTCCCTTGAAGAATCAGTTGATTTTTTATCAAAGCTCCAGTGATTTGTATTGATGGGATGAGTAGAAAGTCTATAATCATGGTATGTCCTATAATTAGGGAAGGTGAAAGAATTAGGATACTGCAGAATGAAGTTTTATCTTAATGGGACTAGAGGCCCATTGCATGACATTCCTGCACTGGGAGGACACGGGGATCCCTCAGCCTGGCCTGTGCCCTCTTGCAGTCTGGGACCCGGCCCTAAGCCAGGAATCGGACATCCCCCGAGAGGTCCTTGCTACAGTTGCGCCAGACCATAAGCCCTGCTGCTGGCTGAGCGGCACTTTCCCTGTGGGAGTGCACTGACTGCCAGGGGGCAGCTCCTGCATTGAGCATCTGCCCCCTGGTGGTCAGTGCATGTCATAGTGACCTGTTGTTCTGCTGTTTTGGTTGATTTGCATATTAGCCTTTTATTACATAGGATTATTGTATAGGATAGGTTTTAAATTTATACTGTGTATGTGTGTTAGATGCCATTTTAGGATAATGGATTTTAAAAATTTCTCTACTCTTTTTTAATAATAATTTTCTTCCTTTTTTAGCAAGAAGGCTTTGGCCGACCAAGTGTGTACCATGCTGCAATTGTAATTTTCCTTGAATTCTTTGCTTGGGGCCTGTTGACAACTCCAATGCTAACTGTAAGTATTGCTGAACTGAGTCCTCATTTATACGAGCCAAAGAGAAGTGTTTAAGTCTATGTTTGCAGGACCATATGTCTACATATGTGTTTGAGAGTAGTTTTTGACAGCAATTTAAAGACTGCTTATTCCATGGGGTTTATGCTGTGCCAGATGGAACCACCTACAACAGAGAGAGAGAAAAAAACATCAATGTAAGAGAGGCATATCAATTATATCAATTGGTTGCCTCCTGTAGAAACCCTGACCAGACTGGGGATCAAATATGCAACCCGCTGACCACAGCTGTAGCTCCGCAGATTTGAGAGTAAGATTCCAGGAGCTTATTTCATAACCTTTTATTGACCCTTTCAACTATAGATATTTTTTTAAACAAAGGAGAGAATGGGCTACTATGTTTCAGTTTACCAATTCACATCTGTGAATATTTGTGGGGGTTTTTGCTGGCAAAATGGATGATTACCACAATGTTAAGGCATAAAAGAGGTCAGCAGGTATGCTGGCATTTCTAATGAACAACACAAACTGATGAACAAAAGAACAAAAAACAGCCGGGACTGGTTTGGCTCAGTGGATAGAGCGTCGGCCTGCGGACTGAAGGGTCCTGGGTTTGATTCCGGTCAAGGGCATGTACCGTGGTTGCGGGCACATCCCCAGTAGGGGGTGTGCAGGAGGCAGCTGATCGATGATTTTCTCTCATCGATGTTTCTAGCTCTCTATCTCTCTCCCTTCCTCTCTGTGAAAAATCAATAAAATATATTTAAAAAAAAAAAAAAGAACAAAAAACAAATCCAAAGACAGAGAAACATTGATCAGACTGTCAAACCTCAGAGAGAAGGTAGGGGAGGGTGGGGGTAAAGGGAAGAGATCAACCAAGGACTTGTGTGCATGCATGTGAGCCTAACCAGTGGACACAGACAACAGAGACAGAGTGAGTGCACGAGTGGGGGTTGGGGGGATAAGGACACACAGTAATACCTTAATCAATAAAGAATCTAGAAAAAAGGAGTGCTGGTATTTCTAATGGTGTGAAAACAATAATGACCACAGGCAATGGAAGAGGTAAGAAACTGCTGTTGACTGTTGTGGAGGAATGAAAAGCAGTCAGCCTGTGACAGCAGGGAAGATGCTGCGTGCTGGAGTGAGGCTGCAAGTTTAAGGCGAATAGGAGGTGGTTCGACAAATTTAAGAAAGTGTTTGTTTACAGATGAAATGTGCTGTATGTAAGAAAGGTTAGAACAATCTGGGGATCTGGGTGAATTAATCCAATCTACATTATTTCTAATGGGGAAAAATGATTCGGTTTTCAAACAAATCTTCTCGAACATCCTTCTGGAACAAGTTAAGTTCGAGAACTGAGGTTCTCCTACATCGTTGTATTTTCCATATTAACAACTGTAAATCTACTTTTGCTCAACCACATAAGCTCACATACACGCAGATATTGTACAGGAAATAATTTCTCCAAGTTTTCTAAAATATGTTTTTAAAGTGATAAACATAACTTTTATGTTTACAATAGCCCTTCCCAAGAATAAAGGCGATATCTTTCTTGAGTTTTTATTTCTTAATATGTTTTAATTGATTTTAGAGAGAGGGAGCTAGACAAACAGCGATGAATGTTTGGCTGCCTCCTGCATGCCCCCTGCTGGGGACAGAATGCACAACCTGGATGTGCACCCTGACCAGGAATCACAGCACAAGGTGACACTCGACCACCATCCACACCACCAGGGATCCCTGAGATTTTTAATGTGAAAGCTGTTTGAAAAAATGAAAACTTTGGCCTTATCTGAGATATTAATATACTTCTTAAATTAGGTTTACTTTATTATGGTAACAGTTGTCTTTTGTAGTTCAATTTATTTATATCTTTAATTTCTTTGACTATCGTAAAAAGTTTGAATATTGCTGTTTTCTTTACAGATACTTTATTTTATGGAGGTTAAGTCATTAGCTTTAAAAACAATTATTGCCTTCTTTTATTGATCCCTCCTATAAGATTTTACTGTTTCCTTCTCTCTTTTTTTAGTAGAGAAAATTAGAAAAGTTTTAAAAAGCATAGATAGAAAACCTTTAGAGGAACAGCCTGCATCATGGCTGTTACCCAGAAATGGTCACTCAGACTGTCAGAAATTAGAAAGCATAGACTGTCATCCATGCATGGTTATGGTTTTACCAAATTTAAAAGGTTATCTCTTATTCCTAGAGAGCAATATCTGCATCGGGGAATGCATGTTTGGATCATTTTGAGTGTAGAATTGTTTTAGGGGATCTAAAGGGTCAGGAGTGTGAAGACAGCTGGGGGCCTCGGACCAGCACTGCTGCCCCTTCAACCGCATGAGGGTCACCTGGAGTTTTGGGTGCTCTCCGCACTCCCCCTAGTGGCAGAGGCTGTGAGAAAGCCTGCAGTCAAGAGAGGCAGAAGTGTCTTTAAGCCGAAACCAGTTTGGCCTAGTTGATAGAGCCTCGGCTTGCTGACTGAAAGGTCCCAGGTTCAATTCTGATCAAGGGTATGTACATTGCCTGCGGGCACATCCCCGGTGGGGGGTGTGCAGGAAGCAGTTGGTCCCTGTTTCTCTCTTATAGATGTTTCTGGCTCTCTATCCCTCTCTCTTCCTCTCTGTAAAAAATCAATAAAATAGCTGAAGCTGGTTTGGCTCTGTGGTAGAGCATCAGTCTAGTGAAGGGCATGTACATTGGTTGTGGGCACATCCCCAGTAGGGGGTGTGCAGGAGGCAGCTGGTCGATGTTTCTCTCATCTATGTTTCTAGCTCTCTATCTCTCTCCCTCCTCTCTGTAAAAAATCAATAAAATATACTTATTTTAAAAAATCTAAAATATATATTTAAAAGAAAAAAGAAGTGTCTTTAAGCTCTCAGCCTTGCTCTGACAGATAGAAGGGAAAAGAGGAGGTTGAGAGAGTATCACTCCCTGGATCAGAGAAACACTTTAAAAATATATATATATGTATTTTATTGATTTTTTACAGAAAGGAAGAGAGGGGGACAGAGAGTTAGAAACATCGATGAGAGAGAATCATCGATCAGCTGCCTCCTGCACACCCCCTATCGGGGATGTGCTCGCAACCAAGGTACATGCCCTTGACCGGAATCGAACCTGGGACCCTTCAGTTTGCAGGCCGACTCTCTATCCACTGAGCCAAACTAGTTTCAGCCAGAAAGCACTTTTAAAAATATACTGATTTCTTGTTTTGCCGTTTCACCACATTTTTATGATGTGTGTGACAAAATAAATTATTAAACAGTTCTAATATTCATTTGTATGTCTTTAATTTATATTGTTGACACCACTGTAGATTTCCTCCTACTCTCTCCACATTGCCCACCTACATCTCCCCCTCCTTATGCCCTCGCCACGCTGTTGTCTGGTCCGTGGCATGTGCATGCATGTTCTTTAGCTCCTCCCGTCTCCTCTCTTCTCCATCACCACCATCCTTCTCCACGCTGACATTCCTCAGGCTGTTTCCTGTATCCAGGCCTCTGCTTCTGTTTTGTTCACCAGTTCCTTTTGCTTAGTAGATTCCATATATTAGTGAGATAATATGGTATTTGTCTTTTCTCTTTCCAGGTCCATCCATGGTGGTTGTTTTGTTTTGTTCGTTTGTTTTTACAGCGGCTTAGCATTCCACGATGTACATGTACCACAGCTTTTTATCCACTCACCTACTGATGAATGGATAAAGAGCTTTCCAATAGCTAGATCTGGCTGTTTCCAGATCTAGCTATTGGAAACAACACTACTATGAGCACAGCGGCACATATATTCTTTCTGATTGATGCTTTAGGATTCTTATGAAATTATTGCTTTCCACAGTGACTGCACCAGGAGTCATTCCCACTAGCCGTGCAGGAGGGTTCTCCCTTCTCCACATCCTTGCCAACACTTGTTGTTGTTGTTTTTTAAATATATTTTATTAATATTTTACAAAGAGGAAGAGAGAGGGATAGAGAGTTAGAAATATCGATGAGAGAGAGTCATCGATCAGCTGCCTCTTGCACACCCCTTACTGGGGATGTGCCCGCAACCAAGGTACATGCCCTTGACTGGAATGGAACCCGGGACCTTTCAGTCCTCAGGCCGACGCTCTATCCACTGAGCCAAACCGGTTTCGGCTTTTTTTTTTTTTTTTTTTTAAACACTTGTTTGTTGGTTTATTGATGGCAGCTATTCTGACAGTTGTGAGGTAATACCTTACTGTACTTTTATTTTTTTAAAATCTCTATTGTTCATATTATTACAAATGTTCCTCATTTTTTTTTCCCCCTCCTTTGCTCCCCTCCACCAAGTTCCCAACCCACCCTCTGCCCTTTCCCCACCCCACATTGTCCTCATCCAGAGGTGCATAGTTTATGTTCGGGCTCTTCCCGCACCCCCCACTTCCCTTTTCCCCGAGAATCATCAGTCCACTCCCCTTCCATACCTCTGATTTTATTATATTCACCAGTTAATATTGTTCAGGATTTTTAATTCCCTTGACTTTTAGTTTCATTTGTTTATAGTTACGTATGTGTTGATCATAATTTTTATCTTTATCTTCTTCCTCTTCCTAAATAACCCCCTTCAACAATGCATATAATTCTGGTTTGGCAGTGAACTCCTTTAGCTTTTTTTTTTTTTTTTTTTTTTTTTTTTTTTTGTGAAGCTATTTATCTGTCCTTTGACCCTGAGTGATAGCTTTGCTGGGTAGAGTGTTTTTTCTTGCCATTCCTGTCTGGCCTGCATGGTTTCTTTTGAGAAATCAGCTGACAATCTTATGGGTGCTCCTTTGTAGGTAACTACCTGCTTTTCTCTTGCTGCTTTTAATATTCTCTCTCTGTCTTTTGCTCTTGGCATTTTAATTATGATGTGTCTTGGTGTGGTCTTCTTTGGGTTCCTTTTGTTTGGAGTTCTGTGCTCTTCCTGGACTTGTAAGTCTATTTCTTTCCCCATGTGGGGGAAGTTTTCTGTCACTATTTCTTTCAATATGTTTTCAATAT